AGGGTTTCATTAAAACAAACAGGATATTTTTCAGAAAAACAGTAGAATGAACTAATTGGGCATAAAGAAAACCCAGACAGATAGGTTTTGTGATGCATAGTTTCAGTTCTGTCTTCTTTGCAAGGGCTTCAAACAGTGAAGAGCACTAAACTGCTATCAGCAATTAGCTATCAGAATGATGATGAGTGAGCTGTGATTGATGCCTGTTTTACTGCAGATAAGGATACCCCACTAACCCACTGTGCTCACTATTTGCAAGTGTTCTTGATCTGCTCCCACAGGTCTGAGAAACTCAATCACTGTCAGCCTCTTCTTACTGCGTTTTCATGGGAATATATTCTCTAAAGTTTCAGCCTGGAGAAACCCCAAGAGGTAACAGCAATTATTTCTTTCCTTGAATCTGGATTTATACAACTAGAAGGCTAATATTTGAGTAGTGGTATTTTAGCTCTCATGAAAACATTCTGGCAGCACTGTAAGGCTGGTGTTCAGCAAAGCAAGCACGTACCATATTCTGTGGTATTGAGCCATAATTTGGAACTCCGAGGACTTGGCTGATAAAACCCTGGCCACAGTTCTTCCCGACCCACAGAAACATCACCTGAAAGATACCCATCAATAACAACATTAGTCCAGCACAAAACACACCCCAGCAGTGTTCTCATGAAGTAAATTTGGATACTTTTTAAAATCTCCATCTCTACTCAACTTACAGAGCCAGCATCCATAAGGTAAGCACCATCCCTGCTCAGCTTCTCCACTGACAGCTGGAGAAGGGGTGGCTGAGGTATAGTTCTGTCATTTATGTTAAGAGCCCCCTAAAAGAAGCAGCAAGAAGAAAACCAGCAGTTCACATCTTGATGCAACAAAACAGAACAGAAGGTTAAATAACAGTAGGATGTATTACACTGAATACTGAAGCTGGGCCCTTTTCTCAGTTTAACTTAAGTCATACTTCAAGTGCATAATTTACTAATAAATCCCAATGTTTTATTTAGAGAGGGGTATTTAATCAACATCTTGGTTAATTAGTTCTAGAACTGGAATGTCAGATTTGCTATCTACGAAAGATGTGATTTCTAAAATTATTCAGGGTTTTACATAAACATTCACTGTTCACAGAAGTGCTTGACATTTTAAAATAAAGGAAGCTGCAGAGCGACAAAAGGTTAAAGCATGTTATGATGTCTTTATATGCATGTGATTTATAGTGCAAGATAATAACATAAGGCAAAAAGTTAAAAAAGTTAGGGAAAAACCTTCCTCATCCATCCATAGCCATAGCACAGCTTCTCTCCAGAATTCATCAATCCAGTCCCAAACAACAAATGCATAAATGCAACAAGTGGGAGAATATGAAACATTACATTTTAGCTACGCAGCTTTAATGTGGGAAACTTGGGAGCTTCTTAACACAAATTTATTTTCACATCATACAAGTCTTTGCCATCAAACAGACAGATCATGTAGCAAAGCAAAGACTCACCTCATCTGTGAGAGTATCGACTCTGTACAGACTGGGATGTGTCATGAGCATGAGGTAAACAAGGGGCTGGTTTTTCACTTGACACATGGTGAAGATCCGTTCATCCAGACGTGTGTTCGTCCCAGTTTGAAATGCTTTCTGCAAACAGTCAGGCATTTAGTTTAACCATTAAAGCAAAGCCAGAGAAGCTGAAATTCACACACCATCTATTGCTTATTTCCAGCTTAAGTCGTAGAGATGTGCAGCAAGTATTTTCTTATGGTATTTTACTGCTGCTATTTTATATTCTCTTCAATGTTTCACATACAAATCATACAATTCTCATTTCTGGATTCTAGAATTAACCATGACCCAGCACCATCAATCCACTACACCTGAGATGAAATCATCCTGCAATGTGTCTCTCTAACATACACCTTAAAAATGGTACTTGATGGAACTTAATTAACATTGGAGCAGGTAACGATTGGCTCCAATGTTCAGAATCTTAGGTCTGGATTTACAAGAAAGAGATAGTCCTGGTTTGTTGGGACAAAACAACAGCTATAAATTAAACAAGGGCTCACTCCTCCCACTTGATTGGGTCACATACTTATAAAGTCTTTTAAATGAACAAGCTCGGTGTGAACATGCTGGTTAATTCCTAATCAAGAGGTATGAATCCAAAAGTTCTCTCTAAAAGAGAAAGCCAGTTTGTCCGACATTTAAAATTACTTCTAGTATGAGTTCACAGAAATTCAATTAAATAATACATTTATACTTGGTTTTACATACACTTCTGAACTGAATCATTCTCCAGCAAAGAACTGTCCTTCTACTTGGAGCTGACCTGCCAAACAATCACCCTCCTACCTGTTTCAAGAGTGCCAGGATGTACAGTGGGAAGAGGCGCAGGGAGTGGGGGGCAGTGAGCCCGGGCTGTTGGATGCTCAGCACCGATGACCGGTAAGCAGACAAGGAATCGATCACTGCGTTCACCAGGGCGTCCCGAGCATCGCTCAGCGTGGCAGACACTGATCTGTCCACAGCTAAAAACAGAGCACAGAGCTCAAGTAAGAGCCTTTTCCTCCCTTGGCAGGAATACAGTCACGTACGTTAACTCTTCTCACTTTATTGTATACTTTGATGCATCCCAACAAGCTTTTACTGCATTCCAGAGGAAATGATTCAGAAAAAAAGCCAGGGGCCTGTGATGATGCACCAGACTAAGCCTAAGTCCAGGTGACTACACACAGCTCTACTGATACTTAAGCTAAGCATTAAAAACAATACTCTTAGGCTTTCTACTTAGAAAGTACTCTTAGAAAGCGGGAATATTTTCTTCTAAAAGATTTTTCTTTTTTTTTCCTTCTCCTAGAGGATTATTGCTCAGAGCTTTAAGGATGGGATCCATGCATACCCACACAGGCTCTGAGCACACTTACCCATGTTGGCCAAGAGCCCGGTGATGGCCTGCACGTCTGCCCCCAGGTACACATCACTCAGTGTTGTCACCACAGGTAAGCACATGGTGTGCACACGAATTCGTCTTTCACCTGCAGGAAAAGAAAACCGTTGTCTCCCAACATACTTGTTTTATGAAATACTAAAATGCCACTGTTTGCTCAACCTAGTTTATCATACAGATGGTGAATCAGGCCATTTCCAGTAGCCCTTAAAATGATTAGTTCTCAGTTTCTGGGTTAAGCCTACTTATTTTCAGACCAAAACTATGTTTCCCAAGAAACTTCTCGGTCTGAAAGAAGCAACGACATCAATGACATACCCAAGCTGTGATCCTGATATTAAATAAGGCAGTTTAAGTAAGTTACTGCAGCTGAACTGCAGCTGACAGATGGACACAAAGACTCATGTGAACACTGCAGGTGACACCACCTGTACCTCTTACCCTTGCTGGACGTGTACAGGAGAGCTGACTGGAAAGAAACAACTTGCATATCAGTCAGACTCTCTTCCACGGACATTTGCACGGCGTACCCCGCGTCTGGGTTCACGTTGGGTAACGACAACAAGTCTGTGGATCTTACAAAGAAGTTCCCATGGAAAGTATGGATGGAAAGCCCTGCAAGATAAGCAAGTATTAGATCAGTTTGGGTTTCATAGCTGTGAAATACAGACACTGTTTACACACGTGCCACCAGTGTAGATGGCTCTGTGTCAGAATGTTCCCTCTCAATGAAATACAGTATCTGCAGAAAAGGCAAATATCCCAAACACACAAGTAATCCAAAGAACCCACACAGCCTAAGAGAAAGCAGGAATTAGCAAGGCAAATCAGTGCACAACAGTAGAAAGTCTCTAGGTTTTAAAAGGTACCTTGCTGAAATAGCAGTCCAACGCAATATCCAGTTTTAACCATTGTAAAATGGAACTTAGATGCCAGAAAATATACTGCAAATACAGTCTTTAACAAATTGTCTGATCTCTGGTATTGAATTTTACTTTTCTAATCTCTACCTTTTAAGCATTTAAGCTTACAAATCAGCTAAAATACCAATCAAAACATTCCCAAAAACCAGCAAACACCCACTTCCTCTCTGCCCCAAAAATCTAAGAAAGTGAATTCAAACCTTTTGTGCATCTTATCCTCATGACAGCCTCAAACCCAATTTTTCTAGTTAGATATCGTTTCAGCTCCTTTTGCAACTTCTCCACCTGGACAGGGTTGTGTTTATGATGGTAAGACTGGTAGTAATAGACACTACCTGCAGAATACCTGGATATACAACCTGAAACAAAACCAGCACACATTGGAGAGTGCAGACAGTTGCTGCAGCCTTTAAATATACCAGCTGAATGCAATATTCCCTTTAATTATTAAACTGCAAATCACTCTGATACACAGTTATAGACCTGCATACAGAGACACAGATATAACACAACTATATCTTTAAGTATGTGTGCAGTTTCAGGTGGGAAATAATTTTCCACTGACCTGAAATTGCAGGTACTTGGTCACTTGATAGTTTAGTTAAATGGAGAAGAAAATAATTATAATAAAACTTACTCTAAAGACAATTACACTGATGGTTAAAAGGCATAAAAAGGAGGAAAGTATTTCAGCCACTTATAGCAGTATCACAAAAATCCTGACTCACTAAGGGAGGATATGAAAGTAACTTCTAACTAAACATCATTCTATTCACTGTCACTGCTCAGCAAGGATGAATTTGCATCTTGACACATTAGATTAGTTCAAATCAGGTTCATACACTAAACTTTAACGTAGATTCTATACATTTGCCAAAAGTACAAGAGTTACACACCCCTCAACAGCTTTATATGACTTACCTAGAGAAGCCAAGTCAGAATACTGCCCACTAAGAAGAAATAAATCCACTGCAACCTGTTGCCCTGAGCAGTCCAAGGCTAACTTCTTGTAAAAATCAGTCGATGGTGTCAGGTGTATGTCCTGTTAATACAGGGCAGAATTACAAAATACAAAGGAAATTCAAACAGATTTATTGCCTGTTTTCGGGGGCACAAATAACTGATTCTCCATCACTGATTACAGCAATATCTTAAAAAAAAAAAAAATCAGATAATTAATCTGTGTTTATATTGCCTAGTTGGCTTTTTTGTTCTTTCTACCAAGAAAACCACAAAATTAACCTGGAACAGGCAATCCCAGAACCACCCACATGCACAGAACAGGGCTGCCAGTTCCCTCAACCTTTTCTGCTTTCCTAACCTTTGCAGTTGCTCTTTGGTTTGGCTCTTCTCGTGGCTTCAGTGCTCCCATTCCCACAGTGGGAAGCTGCGTCTGGAAGACAGTGATTCTACCTCCAGTGGGGGACATCAGTTTAAAGGCAGCCTGTAATGCAGGGCCCAGAGCACTCTGAGTTTCCAGAGACTTGGTAAACATCTGTGGCAAGGTCTTCAACAGATCTTGAATTAGCTACAAGTGAGGAAACACAAATATTAAGTCTCGGAGTCTTCAGAGTTTTCTTCTTTCTAGAGCTGACTGCTGAACTACATAATTGTGTATTAGCATTTCTAATATTAAGGTAGTAAAGAAAAAGTCCTAGAAAATTGAAGTACTGCCTTGTTTGAAGTTGGCCAAAGTTTACAGAGTCACACAGATAAAACCTCTCTTTTCTGTCTCAAACCTGGCATTTGAACAGTAGGTGTTCAAGAGCGTTAAGTAATCCAAGAATTACCAAACATATCCCAAACTATGTCACTAGTTACTTAAGATAGTTCTTAGCTCTTACCTCTTTATTTTCATTTAAATTTACTAATAAGTTTTCTGGCATTGGTATAAATACATCTGGAAGGGAAAAAAAAGTATTTCAGTTATCTTTAAAGAACACTTCCCTGACTGTATTTGCCAACCATTGAAAAAAGCACAGGGTGTCAGTGTATAAACCCATGTAAACATAATTATGTGGATTTCTTTTTTTTTTTCCTCATAAGCATTCCTGTGGCTAGAATGCTGTGTTAGAGTAGCAATCAACTGGGCTGAAGGATAATCAAGACTATTAAGTAAAACCACAGAGCAAATAATTCCAGTGTTCATTCCACCCTGCCCCACAACATGCTGAAAGGTGACTTGAAAGGCAGCAGGACTAGCACTAAGCACCAGTCACCAGGAAATCTATAGAAATGTACCCAGCATCAGTATTTGGGACCTCGAGAGGAATCCAGATAATTGTCCAAATTAAACCAGGAGTTAGGAAGGCTGGCTGCACGTTTTAAGTCAAGAGCAGCCCCAGCACTGCTCAGGGAGACATCAGGGAGATGACTTCATAAAGGAACACACACATGTGCTACTCCTAAAGGCATTACCAGAGAGATTAATGATCTGACCTACAAACTCTCACAAGATATACATATTTTTAAAGGCTGTCATAACAGGCAGTCATTAGTAGATACTAATCACAGAATTTATTTCTCCATACCTTCAATATCTGAAACTATAAGCATCTGAGGCTGAGAGAGACCTTCCTGAAGGCTGTAGAAATGGATTGTGCTGTCAAATGTTATGAAGCCTATTTTTGTTCTAGTGTTCCCAGGAAGCCTGAAAATGAGACATATGGTGTTCAACAAGATGAAATTTCATTTCTGCAGGCTTTTTTTTTATTTTTAAACATCCACTGCATCTCTCCATGGTTATTACAAAGTAGCTTCACAGCTCCACTGCAAAAGCTTGACTAAGTCATTGTGGAGATTAAAAAAAAAACCCAAACAACAAAAAAGTAGCTCATAGCAGAGTCACCTAGCAGACATGCAGGAACCTTAAGAGGGCAATCAGAAATAGAAAAGGGAGAAATAAACTGCAAAATACCAAGCAGCATTTATATATGTTCAAAGAGCATGTATTTCATGAAAAGTTTATTAGCTGTATGACTTCTTTCAGCAAATGCTTATCTAAATTTCAGCTTTTAAAAAATACAGTTCAAAAGATCTCATAAACATGATGTTTATATTCTTTTGGGGATTGGTGAAGCAGATAGGAGAGTCAGACTGAAAAACATGCCTCAGAATTATCTTTTATACTGGTGCAGCTGTGATGGGAAAAAAGACTGCAGCTTTATGGTCCATTTTAACACACCACTGGCCAACACCAGGATATATCTCTTCTAGACAGGAAGGACTGGCATGGGTGTGTCTATTACAAGTTTCTTAAGAGGAATGAAAATAGGAGATTTTAAGAAAAAAAGTACTTACAAGTCAAGATTGTCTAACAAGGTCTGGCAGACTGTATTCAAGTATCCTGTCTCAATTGCATTGTGAGAGACATCAAACACAAAGAGGTACACGGGTGGCTGAGGTGGACGCAGCTGAGCAAAGAAAAGATTACCTTTAATTTTCAAATAACACTCACTACGTTAGGTTTGTTCATTCCACTGCAAGTTTAAACTCTGAAAACAGCACACAGATGACAGCTAAAACTTCTGAATGCATCTGCCTCTCATTTGGTAATACCAGAATTCCAGTTTTCTTCCAGAAGACCTACAAATACCTACATATTTAAATACAGAACAACTCTGACATCATAAATGTTTAGAAGTGAACTATCTGAAGTTCTCCCCAAGAGTTCTCTAATATACTACTTGAAGCAAAAACTGTTCTACTGAGCTGGAAAGCATCTTCTGTAACAAAGTTTTTTCTGACTTCCCTCTGAAAACAAAGCAAAGGGAGAGACTAAGTAAAAGTAACTAAAAATAAATAAAGCCTTACCATGTATTCAGATGGAGCCATAAACTCAATAGTAGCATTCTGGACTTCAGGTCTTTTATGAGGTTCTCCATAAACTCTTGTCACAGGATTATACAGGAATTCTTCGGGAACTATGCAGGTAAGTTTATATGTTAGTATTTCACACTGGTACTGGCTGTGCTGCATTTTAAAACACATATATCTTTTGTAGCTGTTGGGCAACACTTCTTGGAGAACTACACTAGGCAGGGCAGCTATTTTGTCACCTGAAAGGATACTCTGGGGGACCACTTGGGCTAACTGTGCTTCTCTAGTGACACCACTGCCATTGGGAAACACACTCACAGCCCAGCAGGACTCACAACAACCCCAGCACTGACTTGGCCAACAAGTAACAGTCTCAAAGGCCAAGGTGGGAAAGGTGAACTTTAACCCTTTAAAGCAATAAGCACATTTAAAACCTACCATCATTCACTCTATAGCACAAATTGCATTTCCACCTCCTTTGGTCTAGAAAGCTGACAAAAGGGTTAATGTAGGTCCGGCAGGAACGGCATCTCACGATAATACTGGAAGTGACCACTGGCAATTGCTGGAAGAGAGAAGCTTCCTGTTTTAAAGCATCACCACACTGCAGCTATTCATCTACAGCAACAACACTCTGCTTCCTGGCTAGCTGCTCAAAGCACTCTTGTGGAAGGAAGGAGCACTTCTGCATCCTCACAGCATCCCTACAATTCCTTAGCGTAACAGGTAGGAACTGAGCTCTAACATATTTGATTGGGTAGGTTTCCTTTCCAAGCCTCTAAAGTCTTGAATTTTATGATGGTTTAAGACCAAGTCCTACACCCACTATAGATCAAAAATCAGGGGCAGAAAAGCCAATTAATTAAATTGTAAAAAAACCCAACAGTGTTTAAAAGAGGTACTGTTGAAGTCACAGTCTTCTGTCTATCCAAGGACATCCAAACCCCTTCAACTTTGTCAAGTCTTAACTGAGTTTAGAATTAGTACTAGGTTTGGTATAGGAAATCAATAACTACAACTGATATGTGACAAGATAAACTGGAATTTAGATGTGTTGTCTTCTGTCACAGTTCCAGGGCTGTGCTGTCTCTATACTTTTGTTTTTTTACGGTTTGAGAGTTGGGTTTTTTCATTAAGAAGTGGTAGGGAGAAATAATTTAGAAAAATTACAGTGATCTGGATGGAACAGGGAAATGTCAGTTACTATGGTAATTTTTCTGGGCCAAGATACCTGCCCTTGTTTTATAATTCACTGTCCAACTCTGGACTCTGGTAAAGGCACAGTTGATATTTCAGCAGTTAAAAGTTTTGAATATTTGTCATACCGATAAGTCTTTGAAAGGATGAAGCAGGAGCCCCAAAGGAAGTTTGGCTTTATTCAATAAGGCCTGAGTTTGAGGAATGTTAGTCAAGGTACAGCGGAACAACCTACATGGAGGACAAAGGGTTATTTTCAGAGGCTTTCAGAAAATAAATTATGATTTCAGTAGTACAGTATATTTTTCTAGAGCTGGTGATGGTGAATTTCCATTTCCAGATAAAGGATCTTCTCCATCTCTGTCACATCATTTTGTTTCTCTGAGCTTGACCCATAAACCATCTTTTGAGTTCTTATGTTATTTTATACAAATGCTCTTTACACTGAGTTGAGTGTTATTTTAGTCACTCAAGTCAAAGGTAAGCCTAACAACGTTCAAAGTTGCACCAAATCTTTATATATGAAGTGTTATTTTGGAATAAATCAGAACCAGCAAAGTTTAAAAAGTTGTTTTAAAACTTAGTAACTAAAAACAACCCCACAGTCATTTTCTGAGGGTTCAGCACTCAGGTGTTTCTGCAAAGAGCAGATGTGCATGGCAGGTTTGCAAATCCAGTCCAGCTTGTTTGCATGAACAGCGTCCCAAAGGCACTGTTGTTTCCTCTGTCATAAAAAGATTTGCAAAGCAGGACTACCTGGCTACACACAGTTTGGTTGGTCTCCTCAGAGAGATGACTTGAATAACCAACTGCCAGCCTTTTGTCTGATATTTCATTTATTCTGTTGTTTTAAAAGGTTACTTTCAATACAGAGCTCACCTATATTTCTGCATTCACAATCTTTTTGGTGTACCTCACTTGAATGACTTAATTCCTATTTTATATCTTTTCTCAATCATACTACCAGCTATTAAGTTTTTGTACTCCACCTATCTATAGCTGCCTTGCAAGCAACATATTTTCCCTCATACTTTCTACACAAATAATTTTCCCAACTTCAAAGTTAAACCCACTTACCGCCTTTTATCTTAACACAGTGAAGCCCAACTTCAATGTTTCCTACTCACAGTGTTAAGGAAATAGTTTGTAAAGTTATGTTTATAAGCAGAAATTTATACTTCTATTTATTTTGATGAATTATAGCAAACAGACAATCTTACTCAGGATTACAGTTGAGCTTCTGGATGTCTTCGTGCAAGTTTGGGACAGGAGCCTTCAGGAGGGTCGGAGGAAGAATATTCCTTTCTTGAAGAAGATTCACAGGTCTTAACCCTTCTTGCTGTAGACTCAGGCCACCCATTGATGCAGTTAAGTGATTAGTGCCCAGGGCAGGCTAGAGTCAAATAAAAATTCAGAAATTAACACCAATTATTTGGCTGAAACCCACAGTTCATTTCAAAAGTAAACATATTTCCCTTTCAGTTTGTTTTGTTCATGTATTAACTGCCATTGTATTGATATATGTAGAATACTACTTGTTACACAAACTTGGACTTAGGCATGTAACACAGCAGAGGTAAAAATTTGTTACATTTGTTACAAAGCTCTTGAAATGTTGCTCAGTTCGGTTTCAAAGTTCAGCAAAAAAACCCCAAATACTTCAGCTGACAATAAGAACACAAGGGAAGAGAAACATGCCAAAAGCAGCTGAAAGAAACATCCTGAACAGATGTGAGGATAGAACACTTCAGATAGAGCTGGCACTTCAGAAAGGCACTGGCAAAAGCATTAATTCAGGCTACATCCATCCTCTTAGAACAAATGGTGCTTAAACAGGGAACCACAGAAGCAGCACCTTAGAGATGTACAACACACACCACTCATCCCTTTTCTTTACCCACACACGCCCCACAGGTAGTACTGAGATAAAAACCAGACAGTCTTTACCTGGTGGAAATGTTTTGATCCATCTGGATATTGCAAAGCAGCTCCGTGCATTCCTGGTGCTCCAGGAGGAGAAGGATGTTGGTAGCCTGGGGGTAAGGCAGGGTAAGAATACCCAACACTTCTATTCATCTTAAGATTCGGGGCAGCAGGAGAATGATGTGGAGTTGCTGAAAGCAGAGCAGACAAAGACTTAATTTCTGAGGAACTGTATCTTACTCAGGGCATCAGTACAGCTGGAGAGCTGCTTTAGTTTCTAAGTGTAAATATTACAACTACTGTCGATTTTGCAAAGTGCTCTCACCTGCTTTGTGTGTTACAGGCAAAGACATGCTAACTGTCAATGCTTCAAATTTCATGTTTAGCTTCAACACAGGCATTGAACCAAGTACATACGTTTGTACATAAATGCTTAAACTTCTATCTTTCCCAGACTCTTAAAAGTTACATGATAATAGCAACTGTTTTTTACTCCCCAAGCCTTACCCATGAGGCCACCACCTTCTATTGCATCGTAGCTGTTTTGCACCACAGACCCATCACTGGCAGCAGATGCAGCATCACCTTTGAAGGAAAAGGATCAGAAAAAAAATTCACAAGTTATGAAGATGTTTTAATGAGTTAACTGCAAAACAATCCTACTTGCTGGATGAATATTTAGGTGAGCATAATTTGGATCTACTTCGGTTTTGTCCCAGGACAAAACTGAATTAAATAAACACTTTGGCCTCTTTCTCACCCTTCCTTTGTGACCTCAACAAAGGACATATATAAAACCTCACAATCTTTTTTCAAGGTTCAACCACCTTCTGCGATTCCTTTCCATCAGGTGTTTGCCATAACTTTCCACGCAGTAAAGGGTCAGGGGACAGCTTAGGTACTGAGTTCCCTGACAAACTTTTTCCACTGATAATTCACAGAAACACCAAATTCCCTTCACTTACACACTTGGTCCAGTATTGGTCACCAAACAGCAACAGTTCTGATATGGTCACATATCAGTCAAGACAGAAATTCCATCTGAGATAAGAAAACCTTGAAACTGAGAGAGTGCTCCCAAAGGACAGCTTTTGGTAAGCTAACTATGTCTAAATATACAAACACAATTATCTATTGCTAAGGAGAAGTAGGTTCTCAAATTATTTTTATTATCATTAAAATCTTCAAAGATGACCCAATAAAAAGAACTCACATCATACACTGAATCTTGCAAGAATGCAGCAGTCAACCTGCTTCCTAGACTAAACATTTTTATTTCTCCAGGGCTACGAAAATGTTTCTTAATTATGAAGAAAATATTTTCTAAGCAAAAGCTGTTTCTAATGCATTTAATACATTCTAAATTAAGCTAAATCTGAATCTACTATTCTTGTACTCACACAGCTACCACACACAAGAAAGTGTCAATCTGAACATGCAAGGAACCAACGGCTCTGACAGAACAAACTATATATGTAAAAATAAAGCTGCTGACTAGCACGTGGCCCTATCTAGAATGGGCACTAAATACCATCCAGCTGCAGTCTGTCTGATACAGAGCCCTGAGGAGTTCCTAAACAATGGCATGTTTGTGCAAGGCCCACAGGAGACACAGAAAGTCAGGTATCTGTCTTGAACAGCTGACACTTAACAGCCTGCAGTAACTTCCTTCAGAAAATGAACAAATCCAAGATGTGTCTTTCAGTGGTTTTACACAGAGGGGAATAATAAGATACAGCTACCAAGAGATTGCAGGGTCCACATTTTAGCTCTCCCTGCAGAAAAAACAATATGGCAAATTATGCATAGACTTTGTCCCCACAGCAGTCAGGAGTGCAGAGAAATCAGAATTTCACTATCATTTTAGAACACAACAAAGAAAAAACACAATACCAACCATGGGAGACATGGCCATGTTAAACAGCACTTGAAAATTAGTTAGTTCTTAAAATTTTATTAACATCTGTCTACAAGAAGTATTTTACTTCCTTCCAGGTCCTTACCTGCTCCTTTCACATTAAATTATTAGCTGTATTAGTACCAATTTTACAATTCAAGTCTCTAATAGAACAATGTGCTTGACTTCAAAGGTTGCCTATTACAGCAAATTGCCATGCTGGAATTCAACATAAAGAGCAGATGATTTCTTACCTTCTCTATTTGCAGCTGAATTTAGCAGAGACTGTGCATTAGGGGGTCCTGCTACTGCTGTTGGCGGCCTTGGTGGACCTCCAACTGGTGGGGGTCCTAAAGGTGGCCTTGGAGGGTGGAGTGGAGTTAAAGGCTGAGTCACTGGTGGAGGTGCAGATCCTGTAAAAAAAGCAACCTTTAGGAAGAGTTTAACCCAGCTGAAAAAAGTCACCTAAGTTTTGTTAGGAAAACACACAGGCTGAACTCTAAATATTCCTCTTATTCAGAGGATAAACAGCATGAGATACATAAACCCTAATGTGTGTAGAGGGTCTCACAACTTCAGGTTGTTTCTGTCAGGCTGGGTTCCTGTAGCTGTTGATCTGTCAGCTTTTTGTTGCTATTGTTGGCAAGAATTTCAAGAGGTACAGAAAGCACTGACACTTCATAACTGAGTCTGGAGTGATCACCAAATGAGCTGAATTACAAGTGATCATTGTTCTACCAAAAAATACCAGGGAAATCGCTCAGGAGGATTCACCACTGAATGGATATTATTCCAAACACTTGCTCTTATTTCATATGCCACTTTCCAAAATCTCCCACCTAACTAACTCCAGAGTACTAACTGGCTATTCCAATTCAGTGCCAGAAATAGTTTCATAAATTTTGTGAGCTTGGGACATTTTGAACAGCATAACAAAATTAGTCAGGCATATAACAAAAAAATTAGCATCGAGAAAAGTCTCTAATGAGGCTAAAAGCACTTCACAAGAAAAATTATTAGCTTTTACATGGAAAATATTTCTGTACTTAATTCCTGTTCGCATGCTCAGTCAGAAAAACCTCCGTAACAACAGACAGCAGTTTGGCAAAGAGAAACTTGAGTATTAACCGTGTTTCCACAACAATCACAAGTTGCATAATAGAGCTATTTAGTGTTAGAAAAGCTTTTACCACTGCATATACCAGCAGGAACAAGTCTCATACTTTTAGAGTACTTTCTAAAGACTGACAATTATCATCAAATGTGAAAATTGCAAGTTTGGAGGGAGGAAGTTTTACATTGAACTTTTCATTTCGACAGCACAGAATACTTTTCAGTTTTCTTTCCAGGCTGCGCTCCAATTTTTTGCATCAACCTGACTTAGGCTGCTCAGAAAACAACCTGAATCAAGTGATTACAGAAAAGCTAACCATGCTAAAAGGAGACCAAGCTCACTAAACAGAACTATACTTTTTAACTGAGAAGTCCTGGATTGAAACATGTTAATGCTCCAAGAGCCACCCCAAGGAATGGTGAAGGTCACAGAAACAGTGTCCCAAAACAATGAGACACCATTCAGGAGTTACCTGCTTCAGCCAACTGAAACACCCAACCTGTGCACAGAACTTCCATTTCTACCCAAAAGAAAGCACCCCAGTATTTCCAGTGGGCATATCTGCTTTGAGTCTTGTTCCACAAGCTAAGTGCCACTGCAGAGTCAATTCTATCCTCTTTATTTCAAAAGGACACTGAGAAATGGACATTGCTAAGGCATCCAGAGGGGATGGTTACCTGGCTTCATGTAGCTGTTCTGAAGCTGGGGACCTCCCGGAGAAGCAGCATATTGGTAACTCCCTGGGGGATTTGTACTTCCTGACAATGACGACGGTGGCTGAGCTGGCCCTGTCCCTGTCCCATGAGCCAAATGGCTTGTTTGAGCCCCAAGTGGCTGACTCACAGGAGGCTGGCTGTACTGCCAGTTTGAAAGCACCGGTGGGCTGGCTCCAGGGGGAAAGCTTCCAGCAGAAGATAGAGCAGCTGAGTTCTGTAACGCGGGCGGCGGCAGCACTTGCGGAGCAGGACCTGTCTGTGGTACTGGTGACCCGGAGAAAGCTGGCACTGGGGGTCTGTTCAGAGTCTGGCCAGGTCCTTGATAATTGTTTAACTGAGAAACATTCTGAGAGCCACTATAGTTATACTGTCCAGGAGACTGATGTGGAGGAACCTTCGCTGGCGCCTGATGGGGGTACGGTCCTGGAACCGCAGGGTTGTATCCCTGGCCATCGGGTGAGTGCATCAGCTGGTTCTGAACAGGGCCTGCAAGAAAGAAAACTACACTCTTTAGGAAGTCAGTGTGGTGCATCACTTCTGAAAATAAGAGATGTTTTCCTTGGGATTTTATGAGTCTCCAGGCCATTTTTCCTTTAAACAGTCAGGTGTGACAGAAGTATTGCTACAGGGGACGTGAATTTGGCAGTATTTTGCTATCAACACTTAGATCTTTGTTTTGTTCTACAGTAGCCTTGCAACCACTAGGCATTTCATGCTCCTGGACTGAAATTCACCCAGGATACCATCTGAATCTTCAGAAACACCCAAAAGCAAGCTGACCACAGAGGAGCACTCTCACACAGCTGGCAGCAGCACATGAGCAGACCGAAAGCGGAAGATCCATTGCGTAATAACTCCATTTCACATGACGACTGACATCTACTTAAACTTCAGCTTACCACAAAGACACCACCAGCCAGCTCCAGCATAGGTCACCACGCTACTTCTCAAGTGACAGAGTTAATCTATGAAAGTTTCTGCAGTTAATTTTAGTCAGAGAACTATTCATACGCATGTGAGCGGCCTACTGTCACCAACATGGAATGAAGGGTAAGTTTATCATAAAATAATTCACCAGTCAGGAAAATAAAACTTGATGGGTTAATGATGCTCTTTATGCTTTTGTGGGTTGGTATAGCTCTGCTGAGTTTTACTCATTTGAAGAAAAAAAATTGAAAAAAGGGTTAATAACTCTCCAAATAGTAACCAACACCAGCAAGGGCATCATCCGATTTCTGCTTTACCAGGGAACACAGAGATACAGAATCCCACGAGATTTCCACTGCAATAAGAGCTCCATCAAGAAAGGTACTACTACAGGTTGTCCATACCATTGCCACAAAACAGACATCCTGAAGAGAGGCTATAAATTCTCTGAAATCCTTCTGAGCACAATGCACTAGATACTGCATACCCAGCCAGCCACTCAAAATTACCAAAACTCTTCTCAATGTTGTATTTTTCTGTTTAGCCAGTCACATTGTGGCTCTCCTTGTCCTCTAAACACACAGCTTGAATACTGGAGACATTCCACACACACAGTTATACATGTGAGAGCAGAAAAGAACCTCTTTATGGCTCAGAGTTAAGATTCTTTTCTTTGCAACCCTGTACTGTTTTCCAGATTTAGTTAATATTTGAACAATTTTTTTGAACCTAGATAAACAAAAGCACTTAATTCTCCAGACCAGAAATGCCTGCAGGATTCAACACTTAAATTTTAAAAAAACATGTCAGAGATATTAGCTTGGACAGTGAATATAGATATATAGATATATAGATAGCTATCATATGAGTACTGGAAACAGCTGCCACCAGAACGAAGTCACAGAATTTCATTTAACATTAAACCAAAGACAGCTGGTTTCCTACTGAAACATTCTAGTTAAGTTCTGAAAAGTGAGCAAGTTCACATTTCCATGTTAAAACAACTTTGAACTCAGGCTATTCTAACAATAAATTAAGCTAAATGCAGAATACATTGAAATTCTCAGTTAGGACAAACACTGCACTGGTCATTCAGCTCCTCAATCCCTAGGAAGCCTTAGGCTCTGGGTCACAGACAGGTGGTAATTCAGGGAATATTGCACAGATCCACACTAACTACTACAGTGCCAATGATCTCATCCTCACTCCTCTGTTATTTGTGCATCAAAAGTACACACCGTCCATTCCCCACCCATTAATTTCAACATGCAATTTATGATTCAGTTAGGAAATCCAGTTATAACCTACTGTCCTTACAATGCTGCTCATGAATCTTTGCAATCAGTAATTCTCTACAATCAGTGGTGGCTCACAAAGATGAAAATGCTGTTATGACTCACCTCCAAAAATTACCCTGCAGTGTATCAGATGGGTTTGCAACAATCAATTTACAAACCCCATTGTCAATGAAACTCGCTAACTTTAAAAATGATGGAGAATTCTTATGTGATGCCAAACCTTCTGTCTGCATTCACACACACACTGATGCAACAGCATTACCATAAGCTGTATGAAAAATACAGAACAAATACTAATTAATTTCCTAACTTGATTATTCACCTTCAGGCACAACTCTGTAGCCCAGACAGGAATCAAGAGTACTTGGATTGCTCTCTTATGCACTGTTTTCCTGCTTGAGGATAAAACAGAAGTGAGGTGATACCCAAAGCCGACCAACTTGATATTTTCTATGGCACCTTACCACTACTACTACTAAAAAAATATAATTCACCACAGCACAATGTTTCAAATTTCAATTTTTAAAATCAGAAGGATGACAAAATGTCTTGATACTCTCGTGTAGTTCATGTTTCCAAGACAAGCCTGCATAAAGCTGCCAACAAAGCTAAAGAAATAGCACTGAGAGGCAAAACTGCTCTACAAAGGGTTTCACAGCACACAAAAACTGCTCAGGACTCGCTGGTTTGTTGCTGCCAGGCTCCCATCTTGACCTGACCTCTTTACTGAGGCCCATCAAAGAGCATCTGGGCCCCCCAGCTTTCCCCAAGTGCTGCTGGTTTTTGTGAAGCCAAGAACAAACAAGGAATTCTGTGTAGGCTGAAGAGCTACTTCACCTGCACTAGACACTCAAGAGACCAGAGAAATGAGTTAGTAACAGAAGAAAGGCCACGTACTGAACAGCACAAGACACCTCTAGAGCAACAGAAGGTCATTTAACGTTTCTAAGAGCTCAGGAATAGCACCAGAACATATACGAATGTTGCCTGGTGGTTTTATAAAATGGTCAAAGTACTAATGAAGAAGGCCAGGATCCAAGTCATATTTTCTACCACACACAATTACACTGCCCCCTACTCCAAGCCAGTTCTTTAGCACATCACTTTCACCAGCCACAAGCTTTCCAACCTCCAGGGAGATGCAAGGATAAACACTCTGAAAAGTTACATCCCAACAGATGCCACGGGATCAGTCACCACCAGTGACTCCAACCCACTGGTTTCCAAACCCTCCTAAAGCACCTCATTAAATGCCATGTTAAGATACCACATAAGAAGAGCAAAGCAGTTCTAAAAGAATTGTTCCTCCTTCTTGTTTGCACTTCAGATCTATCAACTGGAAAGCAAGCTAGAAACCTGCAGTTAAATGAGAGCAGAATCCTGGCCCTATTAAAAGCCAAACAGGAATGAAGGAGAGGAAGGTTGTTGCCAAGCAACCCGATGCTCCTGCTAAACAATTTCCTGGTCAGCACATGGTGCTGCTCTGATAATTCACTGCCTTGGTGGACAGGCAGGGAGTTACCTGCAAACAGCTCAGCAAGCAACAAGCTGAGAGGAAGGGCTGACAGCCATGTAACGATCCATCATTCAGCTGACAGTCTTCTTTCCTCACAGACCAGCCCCACTACAGCACTCTCAACGCTGTTTTATAAAGCTGTCAAGGACCACAGCACCTTCTCAACATGTATCTTAAACAGTGCTAAGAGCCGTCCATGCTTGAGCAACCTGATTTATTTGAAAGACCAGCAACCCAAACCTTACCTCTAACACATTCTAACAACTGTCTGACTCTTTTACCTAGCATTTGCATAGCTCTGCATTTCAGTTCTTTGTTTTTCATGCACCTGACAGCTGAGTAGCCTGAAATTCCTCTTCCTCCGACTGCCTCTCCAGAACTTTCATTATGTGCTTAATCTGACACCAGGGAAATCAGCAAACATAAAGCACTGCCAGCCTGTAAATCATCCCACTCAGTCACTCCATTAGCTAAGGCTCCCTTTGTGCAGGCTCTGCTCAGACCATCAGCTCTCAGAACAGAGCCTCTCTCCCCACACTGCTCTCCCACACTTCCCACTGCCTTGACCCCAGAGGCAACTCCACAGTTATTTGTGAAATGTCATTTTGCCGATGATTTTGAGGAAAAGCAATAAACGTGCTGGGAAGGAGGGGGGGGAAGAAAAATCAAAAGATCTCATTATAACTGAGTTGCTTATGCTGCAGCAGAGCTACTGAGACACACAAGTGTATAATTAAAGAAGCAAGTGCAGAGGATGTGGGGTGTGTGTGTGAAATCAGGAGACACAGCAGCACAGATTTGCACACATACAACGAAAACAGATACAGACAGAAGGCTGGCCTTGTATGTCTTTATTTCTAGCTTAAAACACTGGCTATAAGCTGTTCGGTTTCACCTTGAGTATCTTAATTTTATAAAGGTATATTTCCCGAGAAAGAAAGTCACTAGCACCTTCCCAGTTCGCAGCACAAGGGAGCAGATAACGTCGGCTTTACGGGAATGACAAGATAAGGGAGCCCGGCCGTGGCGCAGGCTGAGCTCAGCGATAACCGCGGTGCCACACGTACAGCGCCGCTCCAAGGGTCAAACCCCGGGCTGTCACCGCGGGGACCCCGCGCGACACCGGGCGTACCGGGGGCGCTGGGCACGAACAGAGATGAGAACGAAGGGTTCCCGTGCCCGATGAGCCGCTCTGTGTTTGTCTCAGCGACACCGCGGTCCGGGCCCGCTCCCGGCTCACACACGGAGCCGGCGCCGCTCCCGCTGCTTCCCCGTGTCCCTACTCGATCCCGCCGCGCTCCCCTCGGGCCGCGGGTGTGCGGGAGTCGCTGAGGGCCCCGCCGAGCCCGGCCGGGTGTCCCCCAGCGAGCGGGGCAGCGAACGGGCCGCCCCGGAACCCCCTCCCCGCGCTCTGCCCGCGGGCACCGGCCCCGCGCCCGCGCTGCCCCGGGGGGAGCGGGACGAGTCCGGAGCCGCCCCCGGGGCTGCCCTCGCGCTCACCGTTGGTGTAGGACCGTTGTGGGCCGGTCGGTGCCCCGGGCTGGGCCATGGCTCGGCCGCCGCTCCCGCACCGCCCGCGGGCCCGGGCGGGGGCACCACGCACCGGAACCGCCGCGCGCGCAGCCGCACTGCCGACACGTGGCACTTCCGGGAGCAACGCTGCGGCTCCGCGGGGGCGGGGCCAGACCGGGGGCGGGGCC